CTCGCTCCGTTAGAGCTCGAGAAGTTAATAGTTTTCGTATTTAACATAATTTTTTTCAGTTTGAAATTTATTGACAAAATTATGGTTCTTACTGTTTTACAAACATTATAGTAGCTGGACTAGTCTTTGTATCGCTCTTGAATTGACTCCTATTTAATGTAGGGTCGGAAAAATTGATTACTGAAGGAGGCAAACTACTGGAGTGCTCTACAATCACTTGTTCATTATATACCTACTAGTTCAGAAATCTATTACTAATGTGAAGGAGATTTCTTTCATAGTTTATGACTTACATAGTTCTACCTAGTAATAAACCTCAAAGGCCGGTCTTGGAGTCAACTTACGGAGAATTAAATTCCGTGATGGGTATATAATTCATTAAGACTCTTACTTTTATTCCAAGTTTTGATTTATTCTCCGATAAGAAAACCTATGGCTGGGATTAGGAATAGTAAATTTGCATTCGAGACTGATAAATCTGTTCTTCAACTACTGGGGAAGAATTATTTTTCCCTGACTGTTATTATGACAATATTTTTGGTCAGGAAGAAAGTAGTTATATTAACAAAAAACAGTCAATCTCTTTGAAACTTGGTAGTTGAACTATTCTCTGATTTTATCTCAAAAGCTTACTCATTTTGAAACCTTACCGTTTAGCGAAAGTTGTGTCCGACTTATATTATGACTGTCAGAGATCCACACTTATCTGCTAACAGATATCATCATTTATTGATACTTGTAAGTTCCCGTTATTGTCATGTATCCAGGTTCAGCAGTCCTATCCAGCAAATCAACGGGAAATAACAAGCACCACTGAGGAGTATCCATTCCAAAAAGGTGGCTCCTGTGCCCTAATGGCTTAAAGGACAATGCTTGAGTATCTGAAGTGATGGGTACTGGTTCGAGTCCCACTTGGAAGAATATCGCTCATTGGGAAGTAGGTGAATCCAGCTAGTGAGTCAGTCATAAATAGGATGGAACGTGCATCTTGGATTCCACTGCTACCCGTCAAGTGAAGTACAAAATGTCACCATTGTATTGATTGACATTGGTATAGAGAGATAACTCAGGAAAACCGGTATCAAGGAACGCAGATTTATGTGACGGGTTTTCATATATCATGCTTATTCTTTTCAGTTCAAATGGATTTATAACTTAAGAATGTATAAAAGCTGCTAAAATTTTAAAATTAGCGGGTAATTTGGAAAAGTTGAAGTGCACTTATTCAGTGAATATACTTCACCTTGTCCACAAGCCTCAATTAAAACAGGGTTTTAAGGAAACTATTATGTGGTAGTTAACTGAAAATAATTTTGCTGGTTCTGACAACCTCCATCCAAATCCCTAACTTCTCTTACTTGCATATTCAGCATCACAATTTTATGTCTGCGATGATTATTCTACCCGGTGTTTCACTTTTCCTTCAGTGTTGACCAGATTTTTCTTATGGACAATTCTGGAAATGACACTTTCTCTTGCTATCTTCTCAAATAGTAGTTACCTTATCGTAGATTTCTTTGTGAAATTAAATTAGGCACATAAGATCATGGCTGCCGCCAACTCATTCAACCTGTGATGTAAGCAAAGTGTCAGGAAAGTTATCAAGCGACTGGGGGCTGAACAAAATTGCTGTAACGGATACATTAGGACATTTAATATCACAAGTTCACTATCATCAAACTACTTATATAGAATATATTTTAAAGGTGAGTCAAAGTATAAAAACCATTTACCACTAAACAACTCTTTCGTTTCACAGATCACACCTTGTGATCTTGGCTGTATGGTTCCCAACGGGAACCCTATTGACAACACAGATGTAAGAATGGTCACCGAAGACCATGCACCTTACAAATTATTCGTCACCCTATAAGGAACGCTAGTGAGATTTTGGATAGTGCCCAAGAGATAATGGATATCGACTTAAGATGACTACATAAGATAATACCTTAAAGGTTGGTAAGCAAATACAAGTGTACCTTATTTTTCTAAGAGCTTCCACCACTTTCTAAAGTCTTACATCCATTATCCCCTGACTGCATTTATCTCCTCTACTCCATGCTCAATCTTTCCAAATGTTCACATCAACGATTTTATCAGTTTGTTTCACGTTGATCTTATTTCCATGCTGTGATTTAAGTCTATTTAAAAACTTATAAGATCTTCAATTGTTCATGCCCATTTTTCTGCATTACACAGCACAACTAATAGTTGTGCGAATTACTTCTTTCCAACATCCCATATAGCTCTTGTTTGATATTCTTCATTCATCAAAATAATAACTTTTGAAAATAATATTCACGTCAGGTAGGATGAATATTCACTTACGTATGAGACTTATACTGGTCAGCTATTACTTAAACTACACAAATCACTTCCAGCTTACATTTTTTCATGCCTAGTTAGGAAAATCAATATATATATATATATATATATATATATATATGTATATATGATGTCGATAAACAGAGTCTATTACTTTTAGTTCAGACAGATGTGTTATTAGTCAATAGGGCCGAAATGCATTATCATAGACTCTATACAGTAAAATAACTAATGTATATTTCAATTAGTTTGGATACTACTATTATTTACGGTTTAAATGTAAAGGTAAATTTCACTGAAATTTTCTCATTCAAAATTCTTATCATTTTATTGACATGATGCTTACTTTATAATACTTAAAAATATACCTTCTAGTTTTTAGCATACTTTTTATACTAGCAGGAAATTAGGCTGTATTTCTCTTTTATTTACTAGTATCACGTAGACAATGTGTGATTCTGCAATGAGGCAGCAAGTGTGAATGTATCACTATTCAGATTTACGAAATACTTAAAATTTGAGAATTAATATACATCTGCACTGAGAATCATAGTCGTCGGAAGTAGGAATCACAATTCTCAAACAAGAGATTTGAATACCATGTTTTCAACCCACGTAATCAGCTTTTATCTTCTTAAAAACAACCTATCTTACAAACGTATCATACTGAATGTACAAAGAGTGTAAGTATACTATATATTGAAAGGTATAGAAACCAACTGCAATCAGTTAGAACATCAGCAGGGTTACAGTTGCTTACCGGTTATTTGCGATTCTTAAATGAAAACTGTTTTTTGCCTGCAGCAGTGTAAATTTTGTAAATAACAATAAATCAGTTTGGAAAGCAAACACTGAAACTCATAGTGTTCTACAAAACCAAGGATTGTGCAAATAAAAGTGCAAATTATCATTTTATATTAAGTGAAGTTTTTGATCAAAAGATTAATCGATTCTTTTGCTAACATAAGCCTCTAACAGTAAGCAGTAACTCAACCTCTTCAGTGTTGGCATGTGCTCTATTTGGTTCCAGTTTGTTTTAGATAAACTATCAATTCATTCTATATCTTTTAAAAATCTGACTCTAATCATCAGTAAACTATGGTTGGCCAATTCTCTAGTAGTTAGTGTGATTCTGTTAGTTTAATGGTAGTTCTAACAAGTAGGCATTAAGTGTAACATCGTCTAAAAGTGTAAGGGACTGGAACTTTGTCTTCTCTTATTTCAGTGCACGTCAACTCCATTAACCTTTGAAACTTTTGTGAGTTGAACTTTCGGTAGCAAATTTTTATACAGGCTATAAAAGTATTTACATCGGGAAATGAAAGAATTAAGATATGGACCGTTGAATTCTGATCCATTAGCTAAATGATAACGTTCTGTAATATATTTGTTTATTTGATTTATAACACACAGTAATCTAGTATTATTTACTTGATGACGTTTCGAGCATAAATTATTGCTCGTAATCATATCACATTGGTATGATTATGAGCAATAATTTATGCTTCAAACATTATCAAGTAAATAATAATAGATCACTGTGTGTTATAAATCAAATAAACAAATCTAATATGGAATTAAATTCTACCACAGTGCCCAAGTTTTACACTTATATAAATGATAACATGCTTTCGGTGAAACCTGTAGGCTATGAGTTCGATACCTGAGGGTCATAGGTGTGAACTACTGAGGTGTGTCCATACTGGGAGAAAGCAGCTGTACGGTGCTTCCGGATTTTCAATGATTCTCAAAGTGATGTCACTTCAGGATGATAACTAGCTTGAAATTAATAAATCCCCACAAATTTCTAAACTGTATATTAGAATCTGTTAACATTAGTTTTAGAATCTACATGTTTACGTATGTAAATCATTAGTTGAACTGAATGTGGGATAACCTTTTAAAAGCACTACTCCAACGACAAACTGAATAATAAATTAATTTGGATTGACACTAGCAGTGTCATATATCTCTAGAGATGAGAAAACTGCTGAGATTGGTGATCAGACTCTTATGTGTCTAGGTAATTAGTCTGAACAGCAACGCCTAGACAAGTAATTCATTAATTCTTGATAACTGTACCAATGTGCACTCAAATGCATATGCATATGTAAGATGGTTCATCAAAGTCTGAAATACCCAGTCACATGCAATTACTATGCCTTAGTATACAGAATCCTATTTATTTAATCTTCAATATCTTATTTAGGGTTAAATTTAATGCTTTTGTACTTAGCTGCAAATATGTCAGATTTAGGAGGGTAGGAGTAATCAATAAGAAATTTATTCATTTTTACTTGGATTTTGCTAAATGTTAGCCTTTTACAAATATGTCAAACCAGTCGCACACGTAGAACAGTCCCAATGCATAGCTTGAATTTCGCGAACAAAGGATGTATGCTGAACATTCATTAACTTTCATGAGGAACCATTAAAACATTTTACAATTTACCTTAAACTTTGTCCAACAGGAAATTATCATTGACATACTGTAAGTCAAACACATGGTCAGTGACAGTTTCTGAAAATCTGTAGGTAAAGACAGTTACTGACTAAATCTCCGATTTAACGTAAACTGATAAGCTTTTGTCTTGCTTTTTGGTTGCTTTATGTTTCATATTTCACGTATTTAACTTTCAGCATCTCTAAATTCTTTTTTCAATTTTTTCTTACAGAAATTCTTTACAAGAAGTGTATTTGACTTACATATTGAACATTTAACTTTTAATTTGAACACTACTGATGACCATTTGAATAAATTCTTTGAACCAACATTTCTAGACAAATGCTATACACATATTGATATCAACCAGTGTTATATTGTTTTAGGCATATGTGTTGCTGAAATTAATTATCTAAACAAAACACATCAACATATTCCATTGAATAGACCAATTCTAATGAAATATCATGAAAATTTAATTCAAGCATATAATCGAACACCATCATTTTCATGGGAAATTTATAATGATTTGTTACCAATCGGTTGTGAAATCGGACATGAACAAATAATGACCAGTGTACTTAATATGAATACGTCTACAAATCGATTGAATCTAACCTATAATTTTAAATTAAGCACTATGATAAAGGTAAGTATTATTAATTTGTTTTATATTGAACATTCATCCAAATTAGGGACCAGAAATGGAAATAGCATAAAGCTGTCGTCGTCATAACCAGCTGAAATCTATCAAATGATGTATTCACCGTAGTATGCTATCGTAACTTAGTGTCTATCATATAAGTGACTTCATGTTAACTCTTTTCAGTACAACAAGAAATAATACAGTTCCTCCATTTAGGAATAGCATTATTCAACTCAAGTTTAAATAACGAATATAAAATAAACGGAACTAGACTGAGCGTCATCTACTTCTTAGATGATATATACCAAACATTTCAACTTAAACATCTTTGAAATGCCGTTGAAATTACAAATGCCTTTCAGTAAGCTTTGTTTTCCAGATAGCTGAAATGATCTAGACTCAGAAAACACCTTTACACTAAATTTTATTTTGGTTTCTGTTCACCTGATTTGTACTAAAGTTTACTTGTATTTCTTTACCACCTCAATGCGTTTTAAAGTGATGCAAAGTTACATCAAAAGGCTGTTCTTTCTGTTGATAACATCTCGCAAGAAAGCAATGCTTATGAATCTAGCTTCAATCTTCAGTGATGGTGACCAGTGTTTGATTAATAGAGACGACCATGGTGGATGGTGTAAACTCACATTGTTGTGCCTTTGATTACTCTTCACTCGAAGCTACCATATGCCATAACATAATTTAACGTCATACTAAAATAAGAGTACATATTACTGGGTGCTGTATTCTTTGGCTTCATGAAAATGTTATACACATAATTAATGATCAAATTGCGATGCCATTGAACTTGGCTCAATCGTGCAAGAGTTGAAGCTACCACAATCAGAAATAACGTAGGAAGAATAATCCAGCCATCATATTGTAGTTACTTATTATTATTTGTCCTCTGGGTTCACAGTGGAAAACAGAGCTTCAGTAGCACTTCACCATTTCACTCTCTTCTCTACAGTCTGTTCTACCTGGCTCCACGACTGTCCATAAGCTTTCATTTCTTTCTCACACCATTTCCTCCATGTCACCCTAGCCTCAGAATCCCAACTCGTTGTTTCTAATGCGGGTTCCACTCAAGGGCCTGGACTAACCCAGTACAGGATGTCCTAGAATGGTCGTCTTAGTGTATGCCCAATCTATTTCCAACTTCTTCTGCATATTTGTTGGGCGATGGGTTCCTGGTTGCTTCTTTACCAGCCAGAGTTCCTTTGTGCTTATCCTTATTATTCTGGCCATATGATCTTCAGTGTAAGCATCAAGTGAGCGTAGGTGACAGTTTTTGATGTATGTCTGCAGTTTGTTAGAAATGCAGTTCGTAACGCGTCATTTCACTCAACCATCATACAGAAGCACTGACTTAATTGACTGACATTATTGGTGAAAATCGGGATCCTGTTCACGCTTTATGCTGAGTGCAGTGCAGTAGACCTCCACACTGATTATTTCAGGTTAATGAAGGCCTGTCTTGTTGTCTTTCCGATTCTAGTTTTGAAAACCTCATCTGTGCCTGTGCCACCTGTAGTTGAAACGATGCTGTCTAAGTAGGTAGGTAGGTGAAAGAGACAACCTCCTTCAGCTTTTTCCCGTTCGTGGTGATTGGTGTTTGTTGGTGTCGGTTGGTTGGGTCACTTTATCACCTCTGTCTTCTCTACGTCCACCTGAAGGAAGTCTTATCTTCGCTGCCCTGAATCTTCTGTCAACTTGTTAGCTTTTGCCTGTAGATCTTCCAGTTTTTGCGACAAGACATTAGACGTAAATCATAGTCGACGAAATACAAATCCTCTAGAGTCTTTTCATCGATCAAACAGCGTATGTCCACCTTCTCAATCCTCACAGTTTGTTGCATGATCCAGCCTATCACAATCAAGAAGATGATCGGCGATAGTAGGCGGCAATCTTGTCTTACTCCTGTCTTCACATCAAAGGCGTCACTGAGCTAAGCTTTTCATTGTGAATCAGTTGGCATGTAACATCATATGGCATGTAGGTGTTGAATGAGGTTGATGGATGTTTGTGGTATTAAAATTGTAGTGCTGAAGCAGCTGCCTGGCAAATTACTTCTCAGTCGACGCTGTCGAAGGCTATTTCAAAGTCAGTCAAGTTTTGGTAAAGATCCAGTTGACTGTCATTTTATGCTCTGTTCTATGGTGATGCTTAGCATGGTGTTGCAATTTGATCCGTACATGATTTGTTCTTCCTGAAGCCAGCCTGATCCGGCCGTAATTTTAAATCAAGAGCACCTTCAAGTTTCTCGAGGATGATGCAGCATAATATTTTGCTCGGTGTGGACAATGGTGGAGCATGATTTTGCGCCAGTTCTTACAAAGACTTAGATCACCCTTCTTTACGAGTTTAACAAGGCAGCCCATCTTTCAATCAACCAGTAGGAACCTTTCCTTCCTTCCAAACCTTGTGCATTAGTGGTGTGAACAAGTTTGCTGTTGTCTCAACGTCTCTTTTCGATACTTCTGGCGAAATCCTGTCTGGTTCTGCTGCTCTCCCAGATTTAAGCAATTTTATGGCGTTCAGGACATCACTTCCGATCTCGTCGGAGGGCTCGCGCTCACTAGTATTTGTGTATCTGGGCTACTGGTGGTACTTCCAGACGAGTTGTAGGTGGTGGTGGTGGTTGATTCAAGAGTTTTCTGAAGTTGTCACCTCATCATTTTCTTTGTTTTTCCTTTTTGATAACTAAGTTTCCTTCAGTATCTCTCATTCTTTTCATCTGAGGTGATCTTTCCACTCCCAGATAGTAACCTGGTTATTTATATATAGAGTTGCCTCCTACCTGTGTATGTATGTGTCGTAGAAGTGTCTTTCATCTTCCCACACACTCTTCTTCAATTCTTTGTCCAGTGTAGTGTTTTAAAACTTGTGTTCAGTTCCTCTTTTCATTGGTCACCCCTCCACTGCACTACACTGCACTGCACTGCACTGCACTGCACCGGTTCATCTTCTGCTTCACCATCTTCCTCTCCCTCCTCTATCAGCTTCCATGTGTCCGTCGAGATCCATTCCTAGTCTCGTCTCATCTCGCCTCGCCTCGTCTCATCTCGTCTTGCTTCTTCTTCCTTCTTAATACAATTATGAGAGTTTCCTCACACATCTCTTCCAAACAGTCCCAGTGTTCCTCCATCCAGGTTTCTCCACGCATGTTGCTCAATATCTCCCATCTTGTCCTGATGCCTGACTGACGTGAAGATATCCTTCGTAGTCTCATCCTTCAGTTCAGTGACTATTCTGGGTGTCTACCTTCAACTGTGGTCTATCAACAACTTCTGTCAAGGCTTTCAACTTGATTTTGAAGGCAGCTTCCTTGCACTAGATTGTGGTGTGAGTGGTGTGAACCTACATCTGCTCCCCTACCTCATCTGATCTTGTGTCCAGTTGGCTGACTGCGTCTCCACTTCCTTCACATGCAGATGAAGTCGATCTGATTTGTAGTGTGTAGTGTAATGTGTCCATCTGGTGTCTGGTGAAATCAAATCGATGTCACTCGCTGTCTTGTGAATATCCTTGTGTTTGTACACACTGCCTACCATCACCAAATCGTTGAATGCGCAGAAGTCTGCAAACAGTTCTCCATTCTCATTCATCATTTCACTGAGTGCTTCTCGACGCATGATTGATTCTCTTCCTGTGTTGTACGCTACCAGTTTGACATTCATATCACCCCACGCATTAGAATTTCGAAGCCGCCATCTGAAGTGAGGTCTTGTCCATTACTGATTGCAGTTGTCTGTAGAATTTCTCCTTCTTCTCTAGATCCACATTATTTGTGGGTGCGTAGTGCAGCACAGTATGATTGTGACTTTCCCTCCTTTTGAGTTGAGTGTCGCTGTCATGATCCTGGTCGTGGAGGACATTGGTCCTCACTGCATGAGAGTGAGCCTTCGATGGTGTACTTGTGTGTTGTGTGCTTGTGGTTGTTGATTGGGTGACAATGCAGTAGATTATTGACTCTGCAGTTGACAGTTTAGAGAGTCGACTTTCATTCCTTACTAGTTGCAAATATTGTCCGGACATCCCATGTCCCCATTCTTTCTTTCGCTCTCATCGAGGAAGAGAAGATGCATAGGTCAGTTGGTTTCCCGAAGGCTTTCACCAACTATGGTCATTTCGTCCTTTCGATTGCAGTGAGGAATAAGTATAATTTTATTTTTTATGTTTTCTGTGTGCTTTGAAGTTTTTTTAGCGATTGGATTGTTTTTATGTGGTAGGATTGCTGTCCCTATTCCCAACGTTCCCTCTTTATCTGGTCCTAGGACCGGCTGGTAAACTAGTGAGCTGGTAAACTAGGCGAGGTTATTTCAGTAATAATAGTTAGGATAAATTATTGGTAATGATGAGTAATGTAATTGAGCAACAAGATTTAAACATCTGTACTAAGTTCACAATTGCATCTATTACTGACTGTATGAACTTCAGTGGGTTGACTGAATGTTGCACCCCTAAATCAAAATGTGTAATAAACCAGATTTCTAACTCACTTCATCACAAGTCAACGAGATATCTGTATTGCGCAAAACTTTAATGACTGTCAGCAGAACAAGCTGTGTATCTCTAACCATCTCAACTCATGTAAACATCTGATAGAAGTCATTTTATAAGATGACCAGAATCCTCTTCATTCAAAGCTCTTTACATAGCAACCCTCAAGAAGGACCAAAATGAAGTATATAAGATTTTATGCACGTAACACTAAATATAAAAAACACCACAATACCATACTTAGCTCGTATCCTTTGCGACGATGAAAGTATGATGAAAAGCCATGTCAACCCGTCCATCTTCATTGGCTCTGGAGCTTCCTGTCTAAAAACTGCACATATCTCTCTGTGAGTAAATAACACATATTCCAAGTAAAATTATCTACTATGTTTAAGCAGATTATAAAAATAATATAAGAACACTGTTTCTACGTTTTTAGGGAATTGCGAGAATTTTTATCAGATAAACCTGATCTTGTCCACTGTGTCATGCATACTTTTGTTGTCTGATTTAATACCCAACTGACTGACAGTTGTTTGGTGTAATTATTTCAAACTAAATAATGAGTTCCATTTGCTTGATGATGGCCAACAATAGAATCCAGTATAGGAGTTTCGTCCTATCTGAAACTGACTCTTCAGTGGGATGTGCCAGAATTCTAATGCGTGATGATGTTCCCACTACCATTCGAATCTAGCACCCAGTGCTTCAAATGGTAAAGGATTATCCACTAGGTTACTGAGCCATGAGAGCCACCTCTTGTCCAGTGGCCGTCATGAGTTATTTATTGATTCCTGTAGTTTAGCGTTAGTTGTTATACCGAACCGAATCGATTAGTCTAGTTGAGCATTAGGTGGTGCTCATGATTTAGTAGTCTAGTGGATAATCCTTTGGTATTTAAAGCGGTAGATGCTGAGTTGGAGTTTCAGTGCGAACAGCATCACTCACTGGAATGCAGTTACATCCAACTGACGAGTTCTATGTTGTATGAAACGCTCACCTTGGATTTCAGTGATATTCATCAGTAAACAAAACTTAAGGCAATATTTCGGTCTCCGTTCTAGCAGTTGACATATGTCCAACAAAGGTTTTCAAACCTGTCCAGTACACCAATCAGCAGGAAATTACAGTTACAAATATCCTGCAAGGGTGTCTAAAGGATAGCTTGAAACCATCAACAACTCTGTTCTTGAGTAACTGGTTATCTCAATTCATTGTGCTCCTCAAGAGTCGTCTTTCAAAGTCACTTATAAAGTGAAGTCAAACATTCGAAGGTAATGCGCATTCGCCACCTCAACATAGCAGAGGCTTTGGCAACACAGCAGTATAAATAAATACTAAGTTTTTCAACCACCCATTTTGTAATCCAGTGTGGACTCTAGAACTTGTTAAATTATTATTCTCGAAAATATGAAATAAAGCCCGTCCAATAACCATACTCCTATACACGTGATCTTACGAAATGATATATGAAGGTGAATTATTGAAAAACGTTCTATTATTTTGTTTTTTCATGGATCAAAGTGTTAGTGTACACTTCGTTTTAAATTTGATCAGTATGATGTAGGTTACCTAATCATTATTCTGCAGCATGATCCAGTCATTCATCTGCGATGACTCATTGGTGTAGAACGAATTGGAAATCAAAATTAAACCTACTCCTACACAGTATATTTGCTTAACATCTGTAACAGAGAGAACCTCCACAAAAACCTAAACTGAATCACAACAAATGTCTGTTACATCGTAATTTCAAACAGATGTCACTCATCACATTGAACCAGTCTTCATTATTTTGCTTCATGGATTTATTTTGTTCATTTGTGTCACGTGATCTGTCTCTTAATTTTCTGTTTATAAGACAGTGTCGTTATTATTAAGACATATGTTTCCTCTTGTAATCGATAAATTATATAACACGTCTAGAAGCGATGATCATAATACGTGATGTACATTAGTTTCACATTCGATAATTGTTAAGAGTATTTGGTCGGACTAAGTACTCTGAGATAGGAATTGAAGGCGGGATCACGTTAAGATTACGTGCGTCCACTCATATACCCACCTGTGTGCACATACAGACAGACAGACGTGAATTGAGATGCTGCAGTTTGTGAAGTCATATAAACATTATTTGTCGTTTTAAATTATATGCCATATTAGGCAAAATGTGACTGAAGAACTTACCTGATAACTGTACAGTATAGTTTGGTTTCAGTGAACTAAATTTTCAGAATACGGAAGTGGTTGACAGTTTTGTTCTTTCGAATTTAATGGGCAGAATACGTGCATTTGCATTATTTGGCCTGAATCATAAAGGTTAGATTGTTAATCACCAGTAAGTAAAACTTACCACCTGGTTTTCTGTTAATTGGTGAGTTAACAAACGAATTGACTGGACTAGTACAGAACGAAAAATTGCTGTTCCACCCCGAAATGTTTTACCCGGTGCCTTTAAGATATTAACTGAAAGTAGCCTACAGAGTATATTATGTTAATAATAGTAATAGTAGCTTTATTCTGAAAGATATTTCGGAAGTATTGTACGGGTTTTTCAGTATATTATTTAGCATCAGTTGGACACAACTTACTAATTACTTCATTAAGCTCAGTAAATCAATATTACAGTTCACTTGGTTTGATATTCAGTTGTTTACGATTATTTATGGATTAATATGAGTTGGGGTTTTTGTTCCATTTTGGTCCGTTTATGAGAAATATCACACAGTGAAACAGTAGCATTTACTGGATAACGTTTCGGACATAATTTATTGTCTATATTCATATCAAGTAATTCCACAACTTCGAGACAGACTTTATATATTCCTAATTTTCCCTCCTTCTTTGTGATGCCAAGGGCAGTAGAATTTTCCATATGTCTGTCCCAGACGATAAATTGTGTCCGAAACGTTATCCAGTAAATGCTACTGTTTCACTGTGTGATATTTCTAATAAAAAGACTAAAATGGAATTACAGTCGACCACAGTGCTCAAGTTTTACTCTTATATTAATTAGGGTTTCAGGTTTGTCAACGAGCATAAACCAAGAAGCAGTTAAGTCGTCATGTTAACTGATAGCTCTTCAGGTACTTAAAAGTCTACCTCTAAATATATAGCCAGTTATAAATGAAATATATCTGTATACATTTTTAAATATATTTCATTTATAATCCATTTACCCAATGCTCAAATTATTCAACTCTGTCAGGTCAAAGTTTGATTCTGAAGTTTATCAAAATATATCCGGTTAGTTTAATTATTTTTCAGGTAATTATTTTTAAAATAAATAATCTAATTTGTTTACATCGCTAACTTCAGTCTTTTCATCTGATTTCATTTTTAGCATAGTCTGAAGTTATTATTCAACGTGTATCATCTGACACCGAATGGAGGTAATGTAAAAACAGTGAAATTTATTGCTTGCATGTTGTCAGTTTTATTTACAAACTATTATTTTGTTTTAATCAACTTCGTTTGATTCAGTATCAAATAAACGACTTTGAATGAATGGGTTCTTTACTGTAGGTAACTTAAATCAGGAATTCAGTCACTAGTTACACCTCATTCTAAACACAGTTATTGAATGTGGCAACATTCTGTGAGGCCAACTCTGTGTGGTCATTCAGAAAAGAAACTACAACTAATAACATCAAATTATGCCCAGCGCACAAGTAGTCATGATCATGACTCAACAGCCTATTGGATAACGCTCCGCTGTTTGGGTTCCCAATCTTATAGCCAACAAGATCGCAATGAAATGAAAGTATATGCCTCTGATACATCCTTAATGGCAAGCAATATGCATCCTGGATTCCACTATTTGCTGATACCTACCACGAATATCAAACTTAAATTACGTGCGATATCGATACATCAACACAGCAACCTGTACACCAACAGTGGTTGATCTATTTGGTTCACTTAGAGACAGAAAACTATAAATTATGATATTAATTTGGAGACTGTTGATCATACGTTTCATTTCAGTAGCTGAGAAGTAAGTGTATTGTTGCTGGTTCAGGTAAGAAGACGGTGGTCAATTGTATGCAAGGAAACTACGCCAATCAGTGTTTTTATGGAGAAAGAAAAAGAAAATGCGTATACTACATGTCCTGGTTAATATTATTTGATCATACGTGGGACTTTTTAGTTTTATTCTTTAATTGTAGTTGATTATGCCACTCAGAATAGATTCCCTGTACACAGTTGTTGATGTTACCGCTTCTTTTCTTAAAACCTGTAAGTTCATTTCATAAATGTTAGCCACAAGCTCAAGTCAACCTCTTGTTTAACGAGACATTCAGTCAATAATTCAGCCTACTTCTAAGTTATACGAATAAACAGTAAATATTCCCCTTACAGTTCAAATTCAGTGGTTGTTAAACTTTTGAAAATACTCAGAATTCACCTGTTACGTCTTGTCCGAAGCGTTTATTGCAAAACTTCATCAAAAGTAGCCTGCAAATTGTATATTGCACTGCGATAATAAAGTTATCTGCTGTTGAGTGATTAAAGGTAATCGTTAGAAACCTTTGGACCTAGTTTTCATGTTTATTAGTTATCAGTATCCAACTAAGTGATGATCCATCATGTATTCGAACCGTAATTATCTAGCCCTTTGATTGTAAAACTCAACAACAGGATATTCAGGGTGTGAGTAACTTCCAACTGAGAACAGATTAAACCTCATAAAATCTCTGATTTCATTAATTGTGTAAAATCTCTTTGCAGGTGGTTGAAGAGATACATAAAACCTGAGTTATAAGCCTACTACTAGCGACCTTCAGTTATTCAACGTCAGACAAAGTATGATTATACTGTCAACTTGATTGGCCACTAATGAGTTATCAGTTGGGGTTACTACTTTATTTCAAATTCATATAAATGGTGCATACTGTACGATGAGCCTTAAAATTTTGTGATTCGACTGGTTTCAGGGGTATTAACTGATTTCAAAGCAGTTTCCATCATGCAAAGAAATCAGGTGGACGACCACTGGAAAACTGGGACCACTGAACATCTTTTCCATCCTAACATGGGACTGCTCGGGCATGCGTACCCATGGGCTTATAAAGGATCAATCATGCAACCATAAGCTCTCAAAACAAGCAAGTTACTATCGAGCCAGTGGATCGGAATTCATTGACGTACGTTTTCATCATTCTAGTAACTGATGATACGGTCCACTATCATCCAAGGTCTTCGAAGAGTATCTGTCTTCATACCTGACTTAATCGACTCCGTTAATCACAACTTTCATTCAAACTTCGGGAAATCTATCTCTAAGCAGATGACTATTAATACGTCCGTTATTCCCATTGTGATATCAAAAACAAGATATTCAGCGAACAAGACTCTTTTCAACGAATTTATTCTCAAGCTGTACATTAGTATATATACGATATTTAAAGACTGTAACCCGTGAGGAAGATTTAACTGAAATAATGGAGGGTTGAAACAATAATAATGATGGTGGTGATAATTATAATGTTGATAGTTGATGACATAAAGGTCAAATGGTAACAAAAAAGGGTTACGTAAGACTTTCCAATCGTTTATAAAGTGCACATAGATTAAAAGGGTGAGAACGTTAATAAATAATCAAAGGATTAGGTAGTATAAATGTGATAAGTTAATTGGAGTAAATTGAAAATGTTTTCGATAACGCTATTAGAAGACGAAGATTATCTGAAAAATGTGGTGTATTTGAGCAATACATTTCGAACAGTCTGATCTAATAGCGTTATCGAAATTTATTAAAGGGATTAATTGTTTCAAATTTTTGAAAATGTTTTGTAAAAGTTGCGATTATTCGGAAGACCAAATGAAATAACACCAGAAACAAATAAATACAAAACACAGGGTGATAATGACGATATAAGAGTACAAAGGTTAATCTGACGAAAAAGGGAAAGGGGGTGAAGATCGAAAAATGGACGAAGCGCACCAAGACTAAAATAAATTAAGGCCAAGGTAGAGACAGAGACTGTAAATACTTCTTTTGCACACAAAGGTCAGGCTTCAGTTCATGGATAGCCAAGGCCTCTGCTGTTTTTAGAAGCTGAACACAGAGGAGACGTGAGGTGTTAGGGCGGATTCGACAGACAGCCTTGAAATCCTTGTTTGAGTAGGCTCAGTGGTTGCAATCGATCAAGGGTAAAAAGAAATGCATCAGAAGTTCTATTCTTGAAAAGAGTCCTCTTCTCTGAATATCTTTTTTTTTGGATAACTATTAAGCATTGGCCAGCAATTTGGTTGATTGTGTTATTGGAATCGACTGATTTCAAGGCAGTCTTCACCATTAAATGATGTCATTTTGTGTTTACTCTTAGAAATTAAGTTAAAACAGTTTATCACCGAGTTTTACACATAATTCTCAAACAAATATCAGTTGTCTGGTGGGAAATATTTGTAGCTCTTCTGATGCTCTTATTGCTCATAAGGTTTGAGATTCCATGAGAAAGGCTCCAAACATCAGTTTAGGCATCATAGTTAATAAAAATTCACGTAGAGAAATTTAAATAAGCGACTGGCCAAAAAAACTCATGTACAGACAACAACTGAACCAAGATCATACTTTATGCTAAAGCAGTTGTTGTGTTGAGTAATTGAAAAGAGTTCGAAATGTTTTCCGTCTTGAAAATTTTTACACGTATGCCCTTTTAGTCAGTAAGCTTTATCATCTCTACAAAGAACCTTAACAGCATCTTGGAGAGGCAAACTACAAAGTTAACTGGCATATAAACAGAGGTATTGAATAAGAACTTCATTTACCTTGATGTCTTGTTCCTTTCACAGAATAACACAGTCAGCTCAAAGGAAAGTAGTAGATATCCCTTTGAACTGTACTCGGAGGTATTCCCTTATCGAGAACCAGGCAAAAGTAGTAACAGTTGACATGATAAACTGATTCTTTAGTTATAATAAGTGTGATCATGTTCATTTATTCTAACCTGAAGAAAACAGATTATATGAGTAAGAAATGTATACTTCTTTAACGTTTGTCAGTCGTCTTAAGGAAATCAGATCCATGGTTCAGCCTCGAATGCTGGCTGAAATGGATTGATGAGGTTATAAGTTGCAACCATTATTATCACTGCAAACTCATCTAACTGGCTATTTTCTAAATGCTAATGACTTCCCCTGAAGTAAAAATGGCATCCACTTACCAAATAAAGTAAGTTCAAAGCATAGGAATAAAGTCGTAGGTCACTTGAGAAAATAATCCTGCCATAGTGATGAAATATTCCATCCCAATACGGGTGGATTTGTTGCTCATATTTTGAAAGAAACAACCAGTTATGCGTTGAAATCTTCACTTGAAAGCTGATATCTTCCATAAAATTGACTGGAATCTGTCTTAGTATGTATGCCTTAATTGCAGATGCTAAGGGTTTATTAAGCTTTGAATTGATTAATCGGTAAGCCTACTAATGATATGTTTCTTCAATGTGTATTAGGACTACTGTTCGTCTAATGTTGAATATTTATGTCTGTGTATAGCAGTTAATAAGGGTAGATCTTTTACTTCAATCTGATTGCCATTTGTCAAACTAGCCAAATATATATTAGTCTCATAAATATGAGAGTAGATTTTGTTCAATACAGTAAAGTATAATTTCATTACAGTTTTTTTATTATATTAATTATACAGTGAAACATTATTATTTACTAGATGACGTCTCAAGTATAATTTATTACTCATAACCTTGATATAGATTTGAGTAACTAGTCTTTCTTGAACAGTCATTCAGTATACAATAACATTTGACTATGTAGGACTTATAATTCGAAAAACTATGATAGTTAAACAAAAGTCATCTAATTCTATTTATAAAACATATAAATAGATAATATCTTAACCTAAAACTATGAATGCGTCTATACTGCTTCGAAAAAGATTTACCGTTGAACCTCAAATTCAAGGGAGATAATGCAGCAGTGAAAGAGACTATCAACACTCATAAACAGAACATTCTTTGCCACCAATCTTGGAATCATATTCTCATTTCAGAAACTTATTTGTCAGTAGAGAAAAGATAAGCTAGTACATTGGATTACATCAGTGTGTATATCAGTTTCCTTATTTCTTTAGAGTCGAGTACAAAAGCCATATCATGCACCAGCTTATACAACGCACTTCCAAACACTGCCCAACTTGTCTGACAAAAGTAGAAAGGAAATACATCTGCATCTCTATAACAGAACATTTATTATACCCAGGAGATTTGGCTTCTTTAGATAATTTCTTTAAGCTTTGCACAAAGTGAGGCCCAACCAATCGGAAAAAGTAAGGTTTAGACATCTTAAAATCAATGAAGCATTAGCGGTTCAAAAGTCAGAACCACCATTATACGGTATGTAGAACCTCTTCCTTTGCCATGGTCATTATGGCATATCACTCACTCTAGTTAATTTTCATATGACGTGACTATTTTTATTCACTTCCTCATTCTCAACGACTGTAGACATTATGTAGGTTTTCTTTGTCACGAAATTTTTATTGACCTTTGACCGGAAATTACTCTGGAATGTTCTAACATTCTTATTGTATATTCATTATTGTACAACTAAATGAATGATTTTGTCGGAAAAGAATTTGTTTATTTCCTGCAATTGTCTTCTGTGTTTTCCTACTCATATTTACAAAATTTATAAAAATCATTTTTTCCGTCTAATATCAGTATACTTATAAATTAGCAGTCTAATCATATAACAAAAGTCTTTTGATTGTAGTAGTGAAATACATATTCAGTAATTTTCGCAGGCACCTTTTTCAAGATTAGAATAACAACTCAGATAGTATCTATCACGTTCAACAGAATTCGGCAAAAAGTGAAATTTCATGAGTTTTCTGCTAATGATCTGACTATTCAGATTCGACAGTAAGCCATCCTTTACAGCTTAGTTGATAGGAAGATTTTTCAATATGGTATGGGGTGGCATTTAAACTTAAAAAATCGCTCAGAGATAAGCTTCGTTAGTTTAGGGATCCGAGCGATTCAGTTAAACAAGATAATCTAATCCACCGAATTCCATATAATGACTTAGAGATCAATTACATAGGTCAAACTAGCCAATTGGGGTCAGTTTGATTATCCGAACACAGCAATGTAGCTAAATACAGAATGACAGACCCCAATGAAATCACTAATCCATAAAAATACTTGGCTTTTCCAATACATACATTAACACACAACTACACAATAGGCTGGGAGGGATGAAACCATTATATTTAAGTCCAATATAATTAGGTGGAGAAAGAGATTGATTACTGAATCTTTGTTCATCGAATCAACACCCAACATATATAATATGAATGATACAACATCCACACCAGAGATGTGGGAAATTCCACTACCACTAACAGACAAAGAATGCGAGGTGATATGACTGGGAATATCAAATATCGAAAGCTGTTTGATTTATATTGATATATTTAAAAGAAATACTTTATGCTCGAAACGTCATCAAATAAACTATACTATATAACTATGTACTATATATAATAAAAAAATCTAATATGGAAAGACAGTTGGCACTTCATGATTCAACCGTCCACTAGTATATTGATGACCGTTATCAAAGTTATGTTGTGGTTCTTATTATCAGTTCTGTGTAAATACAGTACAATATGGCCACTAGGGTGGACAGTAGTATGATGTACTCTCTTCAACAATTGTAGGTGGTCTGTTGGAACTCCAGGACCAATATGCTGAGCTTTTCCACGTTCAAAATCAGTTAGCATCAACCTACCCTTCAAACTTTAATTAATCAGCTATCACAGTCAAAAATGTTAACAAATAGGTACACAAGCCGCAAGTGACCTTCATAAGAGTTTCGACATCATCAATTATGCGCGTTGGTCACTCACATGTATCGCATTGTAACTCATACGGCTGTGCTGCATCGTCTCTTGTTCTACTTTTAAATGAAATAGTTCGAGTTCAAGAAATGGGGTAAATCTATTCTATGTTTTAAGCATTGTCTGCTAGTGAGTTTCTTTGAGGAAACTACTGTTGATTGTCTAAAATCTATACGAAACTAATCACGGTACCATGTTGCACAACTTGCTTATTATAGTAAACCGCTTAAATAACTGAAGGTGACTATTTCTAATATTGAGAGATAGACTTATTATCAACGGGAGACTGTTTCAGGACTAAAATATATCAACTATAATACTAGTACTGACAGTGATATATGTACACTCTTCTTTTCCAGATTTATGGTTAATTGATCAGCTGTCTACAATATTATCCAGAGTTGAACTTAACCAGCCATGGACATTAGTCAACCTAATCGGGAGTGATGATAATTCAGTTTTAAATACTTATCAACAGTCTGTTAATGAAACAACTTTAAGTTTATTATCACCAAGCTATTCGTATTTCAGTATCTTGGTTAGATATCGGTATTCATGCTCAATAAACTACTACGGAGAGGACTGTAATCATTTCTGCAGACCACGAGACTCCAGTTTTGGTCACTATCAGTGTCATCCACAAACAGGCGAGTTAGTATGCAACCCAGGATGGATAGGAGCAAGGTGTAGTCAAGGTATGTTGTTCATTTTCACAGTAAAATTGTCTTTAATTATCACCCATACAAAGCGTTAGGCCATTCTCTTCTAATTATTGTTGTTACTATCATTATTATTATTATTATTGTCAGTAGTAGTAATGGTAGTAGTAGTAGAAGTATTCTTACATTCTAATATTTTCTTGAAGACGTGATCATTTCATCGCAATAATACCTATAGAAATTCAGCTCAAAACACGTGATAGACTCTCACATATTGCTAAACTATTCAAATTCACGGCTTTGAAATCCTGATTCTTTCCGCTCTAAAAACTGTTTATTCGTAATTAAAACAAAGTAGGAAAAAGTTGACCTTAAGTTTTAAGTCAATCGCACAGGCAATACAAGTTTTATTTGTACAGACATAGATGACAGTTAGTTTCTAGAAAAGTTTCGAAGAATTGTTGGATAGAGTAGCACTGGACATAATCAACCTTCTATTCGAATAGGTATATTTAAGAAGTAACTTTCAGAAGGCTTTGAAAGTTCTAGAAATGACGAGTGGATTATTATTACTTTGCCAATATCCAGAAATGTTGCTAACAATTCAGATAAGCTTTTTTCTGATCACAGTAATGCCTGGTCCTATGTTGATCTGCATGGATCACAAAAGGGATTTACTTTCGTTATCATATGGTGTTATTCGTAAAACCATTTAGATAATTATTGTCATATCATTAAATGTACTGCAGTAAGCTGTATGTGTCTTATCCTACTAAAGTATTCTTTTAAGCAACAAATTAAATATAAAGCATTCGCTGAAGTGATACTGTGCCATAAGACTTATTTCTTTGTAATGAAATACCTTGATCATATTGATGTTCAACGTTGATAAAAAAGATATGAATTTTTAAGTAGAAAGAGTAAATACCCCTTGTCTTATTGAGCACCATTCGTCAAAAATGTTTAGGGCAAGAATGGTTTCAGAAGTTCGAAACTTGACAATCCACTCATTATGTAAAATTTTAGATAAGCTACTCTAAGATATAATATTCATTCACTAATCAATCACTCACCAGTAGATTTAGTCGTGTAGAAATGTGTGAGTTTATCGGGAAAAAAATGATTAAAATCTATTCTTTGTTAGTTGCTGAAACTATATGAGTTGTCTGAGGCTTGGTAGACTGGTGTTATTGACGTTGGATGATGATTCAGAAGGACTGAAGGCCCAGACTGATGACAAGAAGGTCATTGTTTTGAATCCTACACTGACCTAGATTATAAGCACAGAGGCCATGTTCAACGGTTTAGTTCACTTTCTTCTTATAACTTCACTGGGTGTAAATTTATTGAGCATTTCGTATTAGTTATTTTTTTAGAAAATTTGTTATTCTTCTAAATTCACTTGACAAAATAGAAATTATAGTGCATGTATTTTACTTGAAATGTTTAAATAACCGTATTACAATTATATTTTTCACCCACTGTAATGAAAAGGAAACAAACCTTTCCGAGTCATATAACAATAATAAAGACTTTTCACCCTGTTCTGATTGTTGAAATCGTTGCTGTCAAATGAATTCTACAGAAATTATGGGTTCTAAAGGAGACGTTTATCAACCTCTTGTCTCTTGGAAATCAGTAACATTTCAGTTCAAACCTTCTCCTTCCAGCGATAAAAAGTATTAACACCTCTGATATAATACTTATTTCTTTCCACTTTCATTTTAACTATTGTTGGTAATTGCCACCATATTTTTTAGCTCTTGCTAAAGCCAGAGTGAGTTATACATTTATACTACTTAAAAGAAAACATTAGTAGTTAAAATAATACATGAAATATTTTCTGGAAAGTTAATAATTACATTGAGTAGAAAAATAACAAGTAATAGGCAAAGATTTTCATATATTCGACGATTCTCTACTCTCTTGAATAGTACTTTCGTACTTTCGGAAACAGCGTAAATGTCCTCCTGTATTCTAGTAAGTCTTGATATATAGTGAGCATACTGTCCAAGCAGACGAAATGATGTAAAACATAATCTACTAAGTGTCTCTGAAACAAAATGCAGTTATGATAAATACTGTAAGTTGTATGCAAACTTATCATTGCACCTTAATATGCACACAGTGTAAACCTTGAGGCATTTGTTAAGACTTCCATAAAAATTAATGAAAAAGGTATTCTTACTGAAAAACTTTAATTTTTCTTGTCATCTTAAACTCTTAGCAACATTCTCTTTATCCAATATTTAAGGTTACACCAGAAGTTGGGCTGTTTATGCACAATATATTATAATTTTTATGAATCTCATCCATATAAGTTTTCCGTTATCGGCACACTGTAGACATAAATAGTAGAAAAAAGTTGTTCTTTTAACCAAAATCATCCTAAATGGAGATAGAAATTAGAGCTAACATTGAAAAGTTAATTTTAATCAAATCGAATCCATTTTCACTTCTTATAAGAATACTAGTATTCTTTACCAAACGAAAGTGCTTTGTTGGAAAGGTTTTATTATATCTCCATCCTAAATTGTGTATATAAATTTTTTTTGAAAGTAATTCTGTACTTTTTAGTTTGAAAACCAAACCAAGTTTAAATGTGGTTTCAAATATATGATGATCCACAAACACTATGAATGCATTGGTGGAAAACTGAATTATTCTTAGATAGATGGACAAATTTATTATCAATCGACTTCTTTTGTTTGTATTCAGTACACTGAGTTTGTTTTATTGATAATGGTTGACCTGTCTTGTTTAAAAGAAATGATGAAGAGTGTCATCCAACATATGCCATAGGATCAATCGCGTTACATCTAAGCAAAGTAGCACTGTTTAAATATTCAAATATATTCAATTGCTACACTTTCTTTTAATATCTGATGCATTTATGATGATAGTCGACATGTCAATAAAACTTTTGCTAACCTTAACCCCAAATTAAACTGCAACTTACTCTGAATATGATGATATTTTGTTGAATGCAAAAAGGAATTATAACTCGATCTCATTTAAGTAAAACACTAAATTGGATACATGTTAAACACTTCAGGAAGTTATTGTTTGCCTGATATAGATCAATTCAATATAAACTATTCTTCACAGTTTCTCTAGGTCTTTTAGATATGACGATAGCGAAGATACGAAGTTTTCTGTCCACCTCAGTTTTTAAAAATGTTGAGGAATGTAAAGCAAAAAGCTCTCAAAAATCATACTGATTCAAACAGATCTGTCACATCAGAAAAATCACGTCGTTATGAACTAAAATAGTTATTGTTAACTTAACCTACAAGGCTAATTTAATATCCATAGCTTTTATCAGCTAACTGAGTATGGAATGTTTCACCAAAATGTCTAGTTTTGAAAAACGTATAATCGTGTTTACTGATGACAATGATGATCGATGCTTCGAATTTTTTAAACGTAACTTAATAAATGAATCCATTTTTTTCATAAACGTCTCAGCACTTTGTAGAGCTGGTTGTAAACATGGTACTTGTATTGGACCGGAATTATGCAGGTGAGTGAAACTAGAACTTATTATACATAGTTTACATGGATGTAATATGCAAACTTCTTATTCTATATTGAATTCAAGGAGCTAATTACCTTTGTAGGTTACAGAGTAGTAAAAACGTGGGGAAATCGATGCTCAGTGGTTAAATGCTATTAAATAAAGTCTGAATCTTGGGTTTCTTACTTTTTGACTTACCTGTTGCATGAATCGAATGCATAAAAATGATCTATCAGACTTAACTATTTATTTTTGAGCGAGTTGTGGAGATTTGGAAATATTTCAAGTTGTTATTCATCGTAGGCTGACATCAGTCTACGATGAATAACAACTTGAAATTTAACTATTTATTATTAGTTTGACTACCTGAGAAAATCGTGGTTTGGCAGGCTTTTATTGAGACTGCGTAGTGATCAAAGGTGAAATGAAAATTTGCAAAGCGGTAGAATCGAAACCAGCGACCACCGGGTTTCTGGCTTGTCACTTTAGTGACTGATCCACCATACCCGACTGCTGACCACATTTTTATTTCACTTAAACCACCAAGGGTTTTGCCTAACTTCTGCTTGAATTCGTGACACATTACTATCAGCTGATCGAACTCATACTGGCTACCCACTCAGGACTTCTCATCCTAATCTCAATCTACATGAATTAAAGAACGGAAGCATTTTATTAATTATCACTTTCACTACCTTAAATAGCTGTGCTTTGGCCGTGGCCTAAAATTTCATTCAACCCTCAGTCATCACCCACTGTAAAGTGTTTGTGTAAATAGATAACTGTTGATTGTCAGAAGTTAAATGCCAATCTTTCGCTGGTTAATACACTTTTCTGTACATATCTTGACAACCCTTTGGATGAATGACGGAGGCTTTTTATGGAGGTTGTTGGTTCTTATATTTAAAATCTAGACTTCCTACGGATTGTTGGACCAAGCACCTATTGATTTACGTACTACAGCTCCGCACTTTGTACTGAGTAATTGCAATAGTCACATTTTTCACAAGTAAGAAGTCATCAGTTAGATCTACTGGTTCAAGTGATTGAGACTAATCTTAGGGTAACTTTTTGGTGGTGTTTTCAAAACAATTTATGATTATGATACATAAAGCCTTTTTACGCTTCTCTCTTGCACTAGGGAATAATGAATATATTGTGCTGATATCTTACTGAATTGCATACTGAAGCACAACCTTACCAGACTGTTCATGCATAACAGTCATAGAATTCTATACACAACTTTGGTTTAGATATAGTATATTGTTGGACTGGAGTAATATCATCAGCTACATCAATATCACTTACTTTTTTGTAGTAAGTAAACATTAAGATGACACAGGATCATAAGCACCAGATTCTAACAATGGCTGCAGCTATATAGCAGATATGTATTCTTTGAGAAATTGGAAATCTGAGGTGGAAGTTAGATTTTGAACTTCCTTCTACTGCATAGGTGATGTAAAGTATATACCTTCCTTCACATTTGCTAGCGTATATTCTCATATATTTTAACACGAAATGAAGGGAATGAAGCAAAGTGTCTAGAAGACTAACTGCCTGGAGTTTCCAGCAGTAAGACAAACCTTTACAAGATAGTTTATCTGTAGTTGTCTAATATACTATCATCACTGAAGTTACTCTTTCATGAAAACTACGTAAGACAGAGCCTCTTACAAACTCAATCCTTATGCGTAATTCCAAACAAAGCACATTTCTGTCATCTTAAGGGATATATTACATAATTTAGCTTGAATGAGTTGACAACTATAACGGCGAAAATCTAGTGGCCGATCGGTATACACACTCCAGTTCAACTGAGGTCAAGTAATTACTTCAACGACTTGATCATAGTCTCTATGAATTCAACGTTGAATGATACAGGTTAAAAATCTTCGACAAGACATATATTCTACCAAGTTAGCTGATCAATATCAGCAGCTATAGAATCTGAGTTAAATGTATCCTACCAAATAACCGCATTCATAACACAAACTACAGTCTTGCTGCTTTACAATCTAGGAGTTAATTTAGTTAAAAAAAATTATAAATTAGCAAGTTATTCCCCTAAAAAATGCCTATTAAGGTGTGAGATATTAATAAGTAAACTGTACCACTAACTATGTTTACCATCTTGGTTTTTTTCAGTTGTATAGACGGTTGGACAGGTTCCCATTGTGATCAGTGTGTTACAACACCAGGCTGTGTAAATGGTCATTGTCAGTTAAGTTCAAAACATGCTAGCTATTTACCATTTACATGTGAATGTGAACCAGGTTGGACTGGAATGCTGTGTAACATAAGTAAGTTTGCCGAACAACTAACTGATAAGTAATGATCTTTTTCGACTTTTAACAATTACTTTTTACTCATTTATTAGTAGTATGATGTTTTCGAAGACCGACTTTCTGTAAGGACTCCAGCGTATTGCTTTCTCCTTCTTTAATCAAAGTTTCATAAATCTCATTTCAATTTAGACGGCTAAAAGGGTGATTCACTTCACACAAAAACTGAACAGATTTAAAGGAATTTCATCTGATAAAAATGCACTTCTCATAAGCAACAGTGTAAAGTACCCTGTTTATAACGCGCTGAATGACTACAAGTAAAGAAAGACAGGAGAACAAAGAGAACTTCAAAAAGTAGATAGACTTCAGGCAGTATCTATGCCAATCTGTCAGAAGCACACTGACAGAAGTGAGTATGACTTCATTTAGTGGCTGCTAATACTTCTAAAATGCTGTTACTTGTATACTTTTCCCTAGTGTCATATAAAATTTTTAATTTACTGTGATGATTTACTATAGTCTCTTTAAAAATGTAGCCTTTTTCCATTACCTCCAAATATCCTACTCTCCCAGCTGTACAACGCTTGGCATGACTAGACTATTGCTCGCTCGTTTGATTGCCTCAAGAGCTTGTAGGGGTTGCTGGTTGTGTTACTATTACGTAACGTTTAACCAACCCTACTTAACTTGATGTGCTCTAGTAGCTTCTTAATCAGTACCTTACCTAACGTGCAAGTACTGATAACGAAACACAAACCAAAAGGACTGGCATTCAGGAATGTATTCAAAGGAGTAATATATCTAATTAAAATAAATGTGGTAATAATTATTAGGGGAAACGTTCATCCAATTTATCTGGCTAGTATAACTGAGCTATGGACTCTGAGGTTGTGCGTGTTAACAAGCACAAAGGGAGCGCAAAACGGGGTTGAAGTCTGTTTAGATGCATGCATGTTAAAACAAAACTTAAGGCACTTTATGCATCCGAAGGCAAGCTAGAGGTTTACTTAGTCAACACTAAGTTAATTTGTTTTAATATATTTATTTATTTTAGCCCTAGCTGGATTTTGGTGCCAGGAAAGTGCACTACAAGCTTATCTCTTTTACAATCAGACTTTATGTAGCTACACTGAACTAGTGTTAGTAAAGAGAACAAATATTCAGTAACTAATTATTCTCAAAGGAGTTTTCATCACAGTTCAGTTTCATTCAGAGAATTACTGAAGACCTGGAAGCACCATACAACTGTTTCGTCATCACTGAGGTTCCTTCAGAATGAACACTCATGACTTCACTAGAAAACCAGAACAGTCAGACCTTCTGGCAAGTACACCATCACTCACCACCTGGATTGCCACACAGTGGCTTGTATTTCCAAGTTACTCATTCTTTGTTTAGAGAACGCTTTGCATACTTTTCACTCTATCCGCAGAACTGGTGCTAAAGCTATCGGTTCTTCACCCAACACTTAATCGTGAAGGTGTGTTTAGGTCAGAAGAAGAGTAATGATGGTTATACAGTGACATTACTAAATAGCAAGGTATTAGACTGTTTGTCTCAGTTTTCCTGTTGCCGTCTGTAAAACAGCAAGTTGTTGGGGACTGTAGATGATGAGACTAAAAATAGAGAGCAGGGGTGTGGGTGTGTTCCTGAAATGTGTTCGGCTAAATGGCAGTTTTAGATTATTGTATTTCCCTTTTATGTATTTTTCTTTTTACGGTAGCTGCTTCCTTCGCTTCACTATTGTTCATTTTCCCTTAAGTGTACTCACATACAGTGTAACAAATTTGATCAACAAGCACCTGTAATAGGTTCAATATAGTTTGTTTGTCTGCTTCACTCCAGCCCACTGACTAACAGAATATTTTCTCACAAGTTTAACCCGCCAGATTTAACTTAATTTCGAATTGACAATAAATTAAGTATAATCTTTTTCTAATCATTCAAGTAATGTCATTCGTATTTCAGATATGCGTACATGTGATGAACATACTGATATTTGTCAAAATCGCGGTGAATGCGTCAATCAACCTGACCCAAATGGAATGAAAGTAACGTATCGATGTGAATGCTTGCCAGGATTTTATGGTGCACACTGTGAGAAAAAAATTACTGACTGTAAATTCCATGGATGCAATAACAGAGGAAAATGTCAGGTAGATCAAAATGTTCATTAGAATTTTGTCTCAAATGTTAAGTAAAATAAAATGTGGAAAAATTCAGTCTTTGAGATGTTTTCTACACTGATTTTTAATTTACTAAGAGCCTTATAACATACAACGGCCATTTGTTTACAGCATTCAATGCATCAGGATACTGAATGATTTAGATGATTTGAACATCCTTATTCAATGTTCAGCTGAAGTGAATAACTTTGGAAAATCAACTTAATCTTCATCAGAAACTGTTTTCTCATTCATCGGTTACCGCTTAATAGTTTAAGCAGAAAGTTGATGCAAATATTTATCTTTTCAGATATTATTTATTTGGAATATTTAAAAGAGATCCTCTTCTAATGATGCCACCATATTTGACATTGAAATTAGTGCAATGCATTACTGTGTATGTTACTAGATAACGAAAAAAGTTTGTGAAGAATTGCTGAAAACCATGAAACTTTTAACAGGAATTTTTAGCCACTTTAGATCCCTCTAGCAGTTAGATCCTAAATTCTTTCTCATTAATAGTTCTCACTAATATTTAGGTTTTGTAGTCATCATTTTGGGACTGAGTTACCCTATATGAATATAAGGGTTGAAAATCTACAACACTGAAAGATATTCACACTAAGTTGAATTTGAAATATGCCAATTATTAGAAACAAGCCATCAAGTAACCAAAAACTTATTCCCTTTTGGTCCTTAATTCAAAATGATGCTTACTTGTAAACCACCTATTCTTTGAGACATGAAACATGCTTACTGTTGATTCAGAATCTGTCAACTAGTATGTAATGGACCACAATAGATTACAAAATTATCTTCTCTGTACAATTTTCTCTGTGACCTATTTTACCTTATAATGTGTATGGATGAAAACAAAACAAAAGTATTCATAATCACTACTGTCTGACCTCGAAGACAACTGTTCACAGTTATTGTGCTTGAGTAAATGCTTTACAGTGATATTAACGCCCGTGAAGTATAAGGATTTCATCCTGTAATAAAAATTGGGAATAAGATCCATCTGACGAAGTAAACTGAATGCTCTAGTTCCCATTGCTACGAGAAGCTTGTAAATGAGAATTAGTCAAATTTGACTAAGCCAATGATAATCAACAGCCTATTTTCGTCTATCATTTGAGTGATCTTACTTTGTGATAGAGGCTACTTTTGTATCAGAAATTACTCGACTAACTTTATCATATGATAAGTTTATGGTAATATTTTGGAAACGCATACACTTTCATTGGTTGAAAACACTTATTTCCTCAACAAGCACCATGAAAAGGTAATCTACAAATAACCTAACGAAACCTCTTGGTTAATTAAAACCATTGATGACTTGGGGATTTACTTTCTCTAACTCTTTTGATAGTTCAACTGGAATTTAAATTTATCTTTGATCAAAACATTCAGTTTTTATGGTCACATTCACCGTCATAATAAACACTAATCAGATAATTTACCAGAAGAAAATAGCTATCAAACGTAGTAGATTATTCAGCAACATATTTCGCTTGCCAAAAAGGATAACGACTTTAACTGCTAACCGAGAAACTAACTTTCATATAAGACTAAACGTGCTTGTGACTCATCGTAGTCTCAAGGACTGCTGCATAGATGTTCAGGACATTCATGAATAGTGATTTGTGAGACGTGTATCACAAGTAGTTATCTGCCGATGCAACAGAAAACTTTGGATTTCACGATATCAGAGAAGATTTTCATATCAAACCGAAGATGATAACTGTTCAATGTTCTCTGAATTCTCATGCTTCTTTTGGATGCTTCATATCCATACTACGTGGATTCTAAGTTCAGGAAAAACCGTGCGAATAATCGTGAACATAACCTGGAAACACTTCAATTCCTCCTGATGAAACTTACAGGAGGAATTATTATCAACGTACTATTTAATTAAGTTCAATGAACTAATATCCTCGGAATATTTCAGAATCACTGACTGACTACCAAACTGCTTCATAAAATACAATAATATTTGAACTATTTAATAAAAAACCGTTTTCCAGGAAAATCAGACAACCCACAGTATTTTAAACACATAAAATCTGTAATCCCAAAAAGGTGTCAAAATCAAGGTTCAGGACATCTCAAAAGGGCGCACTCACAGTCTCTACATTCCACGACCAGTGCCTCATCAATCAACAACTGGGTTCCAATCAAAACCTTAAAAGCGAAACAATATAGTTCCCAGTAGTAACTCACTTCGAGATTGATTCCCGCTGTTCTAATGGAACGTCGTAACTGATAGGACACTTTCTCAACGACAACACACAGTGGAGGTTGCACTATATCGTGAACTGACAGAAATAGGAAATATGGACCATTGAATTCCGAGCTAGTGGGTCAGTGGTAAAGTGTTGACTGCGAGACCCGAAGGTCATGGGTTCATTTGCTGGTGGGATCGTGGGTGCGCACTGCTGAGGAGTCACATACTAGGACGAAACAGCTGTCCAGCGCTCCCAGGTTTCCAATGTTTCTTCAACTGATGTCAGTGCAAGATGAATACCAACTTGGAACTAACACTCACTCTGAACCTATCTTGATAATATTGACTTTGATTTTCACACCAAGCGTAATGCGATCTACACTTCGTTTTTATTCTACCCTTCCTATTCTTATGTTTTCTATCGACTTGATTGACTTGTTTTGTGAATTTTCGTATCAATAATTCAATAAGTCCATACATCATCAGACTGTTCTATATGTCTAACTCTAATGCATCACATGTCTCCTATAAGCTTCTTCTTCTAATCATGGTGTCTAAATCTGTCTAGCGGATTAATTGTTTAAACTTCTTGATCTGCCTTGTTCTACTTCCTTAGGTAAAACCTGTGACATTTAACTGCACTACAATGTTTTTATAAATATTCCAACAGAATCAGATACTTATTCCCATCTATTTAAACTTCATAAAGTGAATAGTTCAATGGAATTTGTAATCGCGTAGTACTCCTTAAGCAAATTAGCTTACTTAATACAATGGGATATATTACCGGGCTTCTCGAATACCTTCAAGGCATTCATACTAATTGACACTGACCATTAATCAAATAAATATGGCATATTTAGTGAGTGACAGTTTCACCTGCTTAAAAGTATTCTTATTAAAACATTTTTCATACAGATAAACTGTAGGGCTTTTCTAATTGTGTGCATTGTTGGGTTGTCGCCACTTTATTTGAGGATGTGACTTGTGTGTTGGCTTTGGGTTTCCAGTCTTCCGGCATTTGGCCCACTGGCTAAAACATTTAAGTATTCTAGTAAACTGTTCGACTCCTCCACTTTAACATGATATCACTGAAAACGTTGTTGATCAAGCTGCAGGTATTTTTATATCATCTTTTTTAATGATCACAAAGTAACGTCTACATAGCATATACAAATTTTCGGTTTAACTCAACAACGCACAAAATTAGCTGCGTGCAGACTCTATTCAAAAGCGCGAGAACACACTGCAGTACAACAACTTCACGAAGAAATGTAGAAAATTACTTGATGTCTATTCTAATGAAAAACGTCTACCCGTGAAACCTCATCATGTGCCAAAACCGTACATCATCAACTTCGAAGTCATCGACAGAAATCAGCAAACGCACCATCCTACTGTACATAAAGACTATATCAGTAATCACGACAAGATTACCGAGACCACTTGTAATTAGTGTGGCTCATAAACCCACAAATTCCCTCCAAAGCATATTATGCAAACCAAAGGATGCAACAACCAAAGAAGACAAACCGAACATCACTTACGAAGTCAACTTGAATAAATGTAGTCAACACTTCACTGGACAAAGTGGTCGCCCTGTTCGCCTTCATCTACAGAAATACCATTTGGCTATTAAGCGTTACGACATTTCATCGCTCACTTCAATCCACATAGACAACAACTATGGACATGAAATCAACTTCGATAGTGTAGAAATTTTGGACAGAGGAAACACAAAAAATATCAGTGAATTCCTAGAAGCTTGGAATTCAGGTCAGTCAGTCAGCAATCAATAGACTTATAGATATGGACCTAACTTCCCAACCAATGAGAAAGTGATAAATGACGGAAAGGTCAGAGGTGAAGCAAAGGAACAGCCAACAGGAAATTCTATACATTCAATCATACAAAAACAGAGGGACACAAGCAATCAGAAACCAGTCCGTCAGGGCAAGCTACTAAATCACTCACGAAAAGATAATGATAGCTCACTTCGTGCTGCATTTAGTGTCGATGGTTTTGTCCAGAGAAGCGATGAAGGTAGCGTGATAAAACAATCCAGGTCAGAGAACATAATACAACCAAGACCATCCTGAGCTACAAATATTCTCCACCACTTCAAAATTTGCAATCTAATTGAGAACATCAACAGCTTGACGATATTTACCGAAAACGTAGTTGGAATTCATTCGCTACAATAAACTGTACTTGATAGTTAGATGTACGCAGTATAAAAATAGTATGATAAAACTTTTTTTTAGGAATGGAATTTAGTCGAGAGCGTGGAAAATTCATTTTCCATATTATACAATAAGAAAAGCCCTACAGTTTATCTGTATGAAAAATGTTTTAATAAGAATACTTTTAAGCAGGTGAAACTGTCACTCACTAAATATGCCATATTTATTTGATTAATGGTCAGTGTCAATTAGTATGAATGCCTTGAAGGTATTCGAGAAGCCCGGTAATATATCCCATTGTATTAAGTAAGCTAATTTGCTTAAGGAGTACTACGCGATTACAAATTCCATTGAACTATTCACTTTATGAAGTTTAAATAGATGGGAATAAGTATCTGATTCTGTTGGAATATTTATAAAAACATTGTAGTGCAGTTAAATGTCACAGGTTTTACCTAAGGAAGTAGAACAAGGCAGATCAAGAAGTTTAAACAATTAATCCGCTAGACAGATTTAGACACCATGATTAGAAGAAGAAGCTTATAGGAGACATGTGATGCATTAGAGTTAGACATATAGAACAGTCTGATGATGTATGGACTTATTGAATTATTGATACGAAAATTCACAAAACAAGTCAATCAAGTCGATAGAAAACATAAGAATAGGAAGGGTAGAATAAAAACGAAGTGTAGATCGCATTACGCTTGGTGTGAAAATCAAAGTCAATATTATCAAGATAGGTTCAGAGTGAGTGTTAATTCCAAGTTGGTATTCATCTTGCACTGACATCAGTTGAAGAAACATTGGAAACCTGGGAGCGCTGGACAGCTGTTTCGTCCTAGTATGTGACTCCTCAGCAGTGCGCACCCACGATCCCACCAGCAAATGAACCCATGACCTTCGGGTCTCGCAGTCAACACTTTACCACTGACCCACTAGCTCGGAATTCAATGGTCCATATTTCCTATTTCTGTCAGTTCACGATATAGTGCAACCTCCACTGTGTGTTGTCGTTGAGAAAGTGTCCTATCAGTTACGACGTTCCATTAGAACAGCGGGAATCAATCTCGAAGTGAGTTACTACTGGGAACTATATTGTTTCGCTTTTAAGGTTTTGATTGGAACCCAGTTGTTGATTGATGAGGCACTGGTCGTGGATTCTGAAGGTTCTGGGTTACACCTCTTCTGGGGGTCATGGATGCAGACTGCTGAAGAGTCTCCCGCCAGAAGGAAACATTATTCTGTTTCTTTCGGGCTCTCAGTATTTCTTCAACTGTTTACATTGCATGATGAATACCAAACTGAATTCGAAAAACAAATGTCCACGAGACCTAATTGAGTACAAATCGTTGTAGCATAAATGAACGGGGCTTTAATTTTCAAATGTTCAGGGCTTTGATAAAGTGACATACTTTTACGTGACGTCCCCTGTCAAATGCAGCAACGGCTGTTTGAATGCCAACTTCATGACTGGTTTATAGTGTATATTTGCCAATAGGTGCAGATGATTTTTCTCACCTGCTGTTATTGGATCACTTGTGTTGAAGTCGCTTAGATAAAGAATTGGTAAAACATTCCGTTGCTCACTATTATCTACTTTATTCTATTACTTAGGATGTTCAATAACCAATCCCATTAGTTCATTTTATTCATTCGTGTTGAATTCAAAAGAAAACTCTGTCGATAGTGTTAATGGTAAAGATTTTGAAGTATGAGAAATAGTGAATAATTTGCAAAAATCATTGGCACATCTTTGGTATACATATCAGCTGATATAAACTGATTAGATGGACAGAGTGATATGAAACTCAACTGAATAATTCATCTGTTTAACTTTTTATTCACTGGAAATACATGGAGGAAACTCATGGAAAGTAGGAGTTTCTAACCTAACCATTAAGTGGCATAATCGTCCGAGGAGTAATTGCAATAACAATCTATTGAAAAAATGAACAAAATAAAGATTAAATACTTTTATGACAAGGTGCTTGGTTCCGATACATAATGAAGTGAACTGACTTGTCCAAACAGTTTACTTTATATCCTCAGAGTTAATGATATCCCTACACAAAGATTGCCAGTAACTCTCAAAATATCCAAACAGCTACATTTACTTGACATTAAAACTGACTGAGTAAATTCAAGTGGATAGCCATATTTAAATCGAGTAAGTGTATCTCATCCGCATCATCTGTAGAGACTAAAGGATGCACTGGATTTAAAATGACGACCGGAACAGGCTGACTGGCTTCAGAAAATACAAACCATGTGCAGACCGAATTGCAACGCATCATCACAGAACAGAGTATAGAATGACAGTCAACTCTCTACCTCAACTTCGTCGACTTTGAGAAGGCCTTTGACAGCGTCGACTGACAAGTAATTTGACAGGCAGTTGCTTCAACACTACGGAATACTACAAACTTTTATCACCCTCATTCAACAACTATATGAAGATGCCACATGCCAGCCAAGTAATTCACAATGGGAAGCTGAGTGATGCTTTTGAAGTGAAGACAGGAGTGAAACAAGGTTGCCTACTATCCCCCATGATATTCCTGATTGTAGTGGACTGGATCATACAACAAAAATTGAGGAGCGAGAAGAGGGGGATACGCTGGACCGCGGAAAAGATCCCAGAGGAAGATTTGAATTTCGCCAATGACTTGCGTCTAATGTCGCACAAACTCGAAGATCTACAGGCAAAAACTAACAAATTGACATAAGGGGCAGGGCAGCGAAGACGGGACTTCAAGTGAACGTAGAGAATACAGAGGTGTTGAAGATACCCAACCAACCGCAACAACAAGCCCCAATCACCACCAACGGGAGAAACCTAACGGAAGTAGCTTCATTCATCTATCTAGGCAGCACTGTTTCAACTATAGGCGTCCCAGGCGAGGATGTTAAAGTCAGGATAGGGAACGCAAGACAGGCGTTGACTAACGCGAAACCAGTGTGGAGATCTTCTGCACTGCACTCAACATGTGGAACAAGATTCGGATTTTCAACACCAACGTCAAGTCAGTGCTTCTGTGTGATGGTTCAGAGACTTGGTGCGTTACGGAAGGGATTCCCAACAAACTACACATATTCATCAACAACCGCTTACGCTCGCTACTGACACTGAAGATCAGATGGCTAGAAATAGTAAGCAGCAAGGAACTCTGGCATGGCGACGAACCAACCAAGAACCTATCGCTCAACAAATATGCAGAAGGAAGTGGAGATGGATTGGGCATAAACTGAAAAGGACGACTGGGGACATCACACGTCAGGCCCTGGAGTGGGACCCCGATGGGAAGCTACGAGTTGGGCCTCCGAGGCGAGGGCGACATAGAGGAGATCGTGCGAGGAAGAAATGAGAGCTTGTGGGCTGTCGTGGAGCCATGTTCAAAAGATTTCAGAAAACAGAGCTCAATGGAGACGTGATAATGAAGCCTTATATTCCATTAGGAACCCAAGGCAACTGCCGAAATAACCAACCAAGTTTCGATATATCACATTCGATGGTGAATTTCTTATAAAATAAAAAAGCTTAATTGGCTATCTCAGCAATTGTTAGGGTGGCCTTTAAAGTCTTCCGTGACTTCAGCAGCTCAAGTGATTCTATTTTCTAGATTGAAATAGTTAGTGACATTAACAAAGTAATGAGGTAAAGAGCTGATATTTGCAAATCCATAACAGAAATCAGAAAACACTGAAAAAGGTTGGTGACTGACATTACTAACTATTCTTACTTCCTAATTTGCCAAACCATAAAAGTCAAGTTCTAAGTAGAGTAGCAGGAAAGCTACCTATTGGCCCTCCATTCACATGATCTTTCTAAAATTGTTGAATTTAAGAGACATTCATTATTTTAGTATTTGTATTTCTAATGAATGTAAAATAAGATAAATTTACTTCAATTATTTACTTTATTTATTTTGCTTTACATCCATTGGGGAATAAAAATCCCAAAATAATGAATATCCTTTACTCAATCCCCATTTTTTTTTCAAACCATCAAATCCCAACTTGGTTTAGATATCTATAAATTTAAGAGATATTATTTATCGATTCAGTGAATTTTAGTACTTCAATAAACTGGCATACTGCAACATTTTAATAAGAAATCATTTTCAACTCTTTACTTCAACAATGTCAAGGCAGGGTATCTGGAACTGTTGCAGTTACTAGTTAATATGCTTCACTACCATTACATTCACGTCCAGTTACTTTCAAGATTCCATCTTACAAGAGTACTTATGCTCAAAAAAATGTTATTTTGAGCTTTACCATTCTCAAACCAACATTCATAGTATTTTTTAAAAGATTACAAGTAACAAGCACTTAGGTATCAATATAGCGTCTACCAATTATGAATCAAGTGAACATATTCAGGTGATTTTAACAATATATGACTTATGGTTAAGTAGTGAAGCATGTGTTCAATGAGTTCGACTTGAAATTAGATACAACTTGCAGTTGGCTAATTCTGATTACCAATGTATGTGCTTTCCAACTCTCCATGAAATTGAGCTGCTCATTTTTACTAAACACCCTCTGTTCTACATTGATTTTAACAATTACCTTTGACTTACTTTGAAGTATATACATCAGTGTTATACATTATGTTATTTGATACAGAGAGAAGGAACATGCGTATGTAATGCGACATATTATGGTGCATTTTGTCAGTTCAACCAAACTACCTGTGATCAAAATCCTTGTTTAGGAAGTCGATCTAAATGTCTGAAACAATCCAATCAGATAACGGATGGGGAAAACAGACAGACGAAATTGACTGTGAAAGAGTTCAAGTGTCAATGTGAACAAGGGAAATTTGGAGAAAACTGTGAATTCGACTTGGATGAATGCTTGTTGAAACCATGCCAAAATGGTAAATTTATTGAAAAATAATTTTTTCACTAAACTTCTATTGTCCTGACTATTTTATAGTAATGATGGGTAGTGGCTGGCGGTGCAATCCAAGAAGCGCGTTCCATCCAGTTTGGGACTTGCAAGTTGGATATAACAGCCTCCCAGTGAGTGTTGTTCTCATTACGACTCGAAACCAAGACCAACTCATTATAGTAATGGCTTGTACAACTACCTGGTTATGCATATTTAGAATGATAAATTTTCTACCCCTCTGTATCACTCTTCCTACAGACACCTCCACTACTGGTTGAAACATGAATAAACAGATTCTTGACTGCTCTTAAGGGCCATTTCCGATGACAGACATTGTACCAGTATTCATAATCACTTGAAGTTTGTGATCTCTGACGATAGATGCAGTCATCAAAAACCAGGCGGTGATGAAGACAGTATCACTGGCAAATAGTTGTACTGAAATTCAAGATCAATCTCATGTATTTATTTGACTAAAATGCTGAAAATCATTTTAAAAAATCTCTGCATAGATTTGTTACTTCAATACAATCACTTAAGTTGATTATGTAGAATGGTTAATAAGAGTAATACTCTATTTGCTTGGCAAGTCAAAAAATGCAAAACAGTTAAAAATACAGGCTACAGTCTTAGTAGACAGCGTTAAACCCAGCATCCTGGATAAACAGGTCATCTTCAGTGACTCAATGAAGCAACATCTTTCATTAAAAACACTCCATTCGAAACTGCCAACAAACTTTTTCATTGTGTCTGGTGTTTACAGAGTCAGTGACTGACTAATAAGTCTCTGAACCTTCCACAGAAAATTAAATGTAAAAGAATCCCTCATACCAACAAAACCACAGCACAAAAGATTTTCACTTTGAAGGGAACAAGAGTTAATAGTACACTCTGGAATGCCACGGAATCAAATCATACAATAGTTGCTCGACCTCTGTTGGTGAATGGGCTCTTATGCCTATGCTTCGATACTGACAGATATTAATGAGGGTGTATTCATCTTGGTAACCCGCAGTTGAATCCAGGAAGCGCGTTTTATCCGATTGGGACTCGTCAGCTGGATGTACCTGCACAGTAGCGAGTGATCCTGTTCCCATGGAGACTCGAACTCACTACCCACTGCTTCCAAAGCCAGAGGTAGCTGCTAGTCACCAAGATGGACATAACATCACGAATATTCAGCAGTATCGAGTTATCTACATATGAACCAATCTATCAATAAAGGTCGAGCACTTCGGTCCTGTATAGCAACGGAGAATTACAAGTACCAAAACAACAATAAATGATACCCACTGTGCAAGTGACGGACCTCGTGCCCCAGTGGATACGCTTTGCGCTTTGAAGTGGTGGATGCTGGATTCAAGTCTCAGTGGGAGTGACACCACTCACTGAAGTGCAGGTATATCCAGCTGACGAATCCCGAATAGGATGAAACGTGTATCCTGGATTCCACTGCTAGTCACCAAGATGAATAAGGCTTGAAAAAATCTACAAAAATCCTTATGCAGTAAGTATATCAGTGCAGAAATACAATTCAGACTTAGAAGGAATAAAAACTTCAACAAATGTAGTTAATTAACGAAAAACTTCCCCTGTGACCAGCACCATATCACTGTTCTTTTAGATCAACAGCCTAATAGTTCGTACAACTGTTATTCAGTTATTTAGTTACAATTTTCAATACACTGCCCATATTCAGATGCAGATGACCAACAGTATTATGAGTCTTATAAAAATAGGTATTGGTTCCAAATTCGTTGTTATGATACTTTTAGTGGCGTTTATTGGTAGTAGCAGTAATAACTGTTTTCAGCTGATGAAGAATATTTGTAGCTTAGGAGGCGGATTTCGATGGTGTTCACATGTTCATGTTCACATCTGAAACTCAAACTGATAGTCTAACATCTTGAAGAAATAGGCACAGGACCATTCATCGAGGACTACCTTTCAATAGTAAATGAGAAATCATTCAGTTGAAAACGATCTGATGAAGATGTGAGAGGCTTGAAAACTGTCAGGTCATCAGTATAATTAACAAAATTGTAAGTAGATAAATATGGCAAGTCACACAGAAAAAAAGAGAAAAGAAAAGAGGGAAAAACACAACCTTGAGGAATACCAAGCTCAGCAAGTAATTAATTGGAGCGTTCCCCTCTGTAAGCAGTATATCGTTTCCTTTCAGAGAAATAGGAATACAGCTAGTTAATTAACCGGGATAGTGAACAAGAAGGGTCATAGGACAGAACTAAATGCTGGAGTGTTGTGTAAAAACTCACATCTGACATACCTAACAACTCTATCTAGACAATTAAAGTACTGTTGCATAAAAAAGTAGCGGAATTCAAAGTTTTAATGTTGTGCTTGTATGTGAATTGATTAGAATCACCAGAAACCTTCAACGAAGATTCAAGTAAAAGTAATATTAGCTTCTGCATTATTTTCACTATGGTAACAAATATCCATAAAAAACTTGAGACAGCATGTCACTCTATTGTTAGTGTCGTTCAAAACACAACTGTCAAATATATTGCAGTACATATCCTGCAGCAGGCCTCTTAATTAATTATTAGTAATATTACTTGTCCCTCGGGTTCCTAGTGGAACATAGGGATTCAGTAGCACCCCTACATTGCACTCTCTTCTCTGAAGTCTTTTCAACTTGGCTCCAATTATGCCCAAAAGCTTTCATTTCTTCCTCACACCATCTCCTCCATGTCACCCTCTCCTGGGACGCCCAACTCGTCGTTTCTCATGCGGGTCCCACTCGAGGGCTTGGCCTGGCGCGTGATGTCCCCAAATGGTCTTCTCAGTTTATGCCCAATCCAATCCATCTCCACTTTCTTCTGCATATTTCCTGGGCGATAGGCTCTTGGTTGGTCCGTTCCCCGAGTTCTTTGTTGCTTATTCTTAGCACTGTGGCCATCTGATCTTCAGTATCAAGCGTAGGCAGCAGCTGTTGATGAATGTCTGTAGTTTGTTGAAAATGCTTTATTTGTAACATGCCAAGTCTCTCAATCATCATATGGAAGCAATGACTTGACTGAATTACTGTTGGAAATCCGAATGTTTTTCACGCTTTATGCTGAGTGCAGTGCACTAGATCTCCACACTGATTTCAGATCGATGAGGACCTGTCTTGCTGTCTTTCTGATCCTGCCTTTGACGTCCTCATGTGTGCCTTTGCCGCCTGTAGTTGAAACGATGCTGCCTGGGTGGTAGGTGAAAGAGACCACTTCCTTTAGGTTTTTCCCGTTCATGGTGACTGGTGCTTGTTGTTCATGCTGTTGTTCGTTGGGTATCATCACTACCTTTGTCTTCTCTACATTCACTTGAAGTCCCGTCTTTTCTGCCCCTTCTGTCAACTTGTTGGCTTTTGCCTGTAGATCTTCAAGTTTGTGCGACATTAGACACAAGTCATCGGCAACATCCAAATCTTCTTTTGGAATCTTTTCATCGGTCCAGCCAGCGTATGCCCGTCTTCTCGCTCCTCACTGTTTGCTGCATGATCCAGTCCACCACAATCAGGAAGATCATCGGTGATAGTAGGCGGCTAACTTGTCTTATACCTTCCTGTCTTCACTTCAGAGGCGTCACTGAGCTTTCCACTGTGGATCACCTGGCATGTGGCGTCTTCATGTAGATGTAGAATGAGGTTGATAAAGGTTTGTGGCACTAAAAGCGTAGTGTTGAAGCAACTGCCAAATTACTTGTTGATCGACGTTGTAGAAGGCCTTTTCAAAGTCGATGAAGTTGAGGTAGAGTTGAGTTGACTGCCATTCTATACTCTGTTCTGTTCGATGATGATGCGAAGCGTAGCGTCGCAATTTGGTCCGCACATGGTTTGTATTTTCTGAAGCCAGTCAGCCTGTTCCGGTCGTCATTTTGAATCCAGCGCATTGTTTAATCTCTCCAGTATGATGCGTCATAATATTTTGCTTGCCTGGGGTGAACAGGAGTGGAGTATGATTCCGCACCAATTCTTGCAAAGACTTATATCTCCCTTCTCTGGGATTTTGACAAGGTAGCCGTTCTTCCGATCTGCAGGTACCTTTTCTTCCTTCCTTGCAAACCTTCACTCACAGTGGTGTGAGCGTATCCTCTGTTGTCTTTGCGTCAGTCAGGATAAACGGTACTTTCAAAATATTTGTACCAAACTTCAAATGCGTTACAACCAAGAACAAAATAATTGAAAATATGTATACGTAGATAGCCTACAAATGTGATTTATTGTTTATTATTCAACAGTTTTAAACTCTAATTGTCGACTATTCAATCCAAATAGTTTTGATTTCTGTTGGTAGTAACTTTTTTATGACATAATTTTAGGTGGTTATTGTGTTGATATGCCAACCGGTTATAAGTGTGTTTGCCCTCCTCGTTTTACGGGTGCCAAATGTCAAATTTCACGAACAGTATGTCAAAACAATTCATGTGCAAATGGTGGTCAGTGTTTAGATGAATCAGTTGGCTTCCAGTGTCACTGCTTAACAGGATGGAAAGGTTTAACATGTCGGGAAAATGTCAATGAATGTTCTGAAATACCGAAACAAACTGGTCGTCCATTATGTCAAAATAATGCTGGTTGTCGTGATCTCCTAGGTTCATATAGGTGTTTATGTTCATCTGGATGGGAAGGAAAACATTGCGAGATACGTAAATCAAATCACACACAACTCCATCATCACTCTAATGAATGCATACATAATAAAGTTGTGAGTGATCCTATAAGAAAGAATAAATTGTATCATCATTACAAACAATTCATAATGTTGTTTACAATTCTAACAATTGCCTTCTTTATTGTGATAATCATATTAGGTGGAGGAATTCTATTTTACTGTAGTAGTTATAAATATCAAAGAGTAAAAATGTCAAACAATCGTCAAACTTGTCAATCTGTTAACACAAGTATATTAAAAACGAATAAAGACTCCGCTCTTGAGGCAGTGAAAACAAATGAACATCGAAAATTAACATGTCAATCACTTGCTTATCCAATACATCAACAAAAATCTTCAAACGTGGTTAAATCTATTCATGATTGGCCTTGTCTTCTATATGTAAATAATTCATTTTCAGATAAAGTATTTATGAATATACAAAACAAGTCTTATGAAAATTATCAAAATCACAACAGCTTATCGTTATACAGAACACCTCAATGTTATATAGAAGAAAACAGATATGTAAGTAATAACACTGATGTGAATCCATTTTTAAAGTCTGATAACACTGCTACCTATTGTATGAATAATCAACTCAGTTTAAAATTAAAAAATTGTCAACATTATGAACATCATAACCGCCAGCATCATCATCATAACCTTGAAACCTCAACCCAACGATCACAGTCACTGCCATTTGTCAGTAGACCAAACACACCACCTCCAACATATGAAAATTCAATTGGTTTGAATAAAATAATCTCTGGTGACAAGATATAAATGAGTTTAAAATTAACCCACCTATATAACAGTGAGTGATTAAACGATAAGACAATCATTCTATGTTTCTTTTCTGCCAGTAAACAGGTCACTTCAGTAACGTGGGACTACACGCTCTCTATCTTCGAGATTTCATATCATAAGTTCATAATAAGTTTGGTAATATGCATTTCTCACAATGGTTTATTTTAAATGTATGCATAGAAATATGGATACAATATATTACATTGATGTATTGTATTGAAACAAAGTGATTGTACCTGAGTAGTTAATGAATATTCATTTATTCTACTTCAAAAGCAGAAACATTTGATGGTAACGGTGTAAAAAATATCATTTAAAACCAGCTCTTCTTTTTTATGTGTCTGTATGATTTCATTAACTGTTGTAATAAACCAGTTTTAATGTATGTACTGAACAAATTTTCACTTCTTAACATAGCAGTTGGGAGTTGAAGCTTAGGAGATGTATTCGAGTTCCAACATCACACTTTAGTCATACTTTGTTATTTGCTGCCCGGCTGAAATAATTTTTCTAAGGTTTGATAAACTTACTTCTCCGTAATTAAAGACTGCGAAGAGGAAAAGAAAAACTGTACAAATCAAAGGATAATGCTGCTGTTAAACGACTTAACTGCGTGATTAAGTCTGGAATAAAACGCTTTAGTATAATGTATAGATAAAAGATTTTCACGTAGAAACCCTTCTAGTAAATGGAGACTAATGATCTTACGGACAAGAGAAAACTTAGAAATGAAGCCTATTACAACGTCTGTGCATTAAGCGAGTCATTCATACGTAAACATGCTAATGTTATCTCATCTAGTTTTTCACACACAACAGAAGGTGGTTTTCATAAATTCAGTGAAACAAATGTGTTCAAATGCCTGAATTCATTAAAACCTTCGCAAAGCCTCAATCCAGATGGCATGCCAGGTATTCTATTTAGCAAGTGTGCTATTCTGTTTCATCCACTCACAAACATGTTTATTGAGTCCTTTGACAGAAATGACGTACCAATCGTCTGGAAGGAGATTAAAATAGTTCCGGCACCTAAGTCCATATCTTCTGAAACAACAGCAATAATTTATGCTCGAAATGTCATCAGGTAAACAATACTCTATCGCTGTGTTATAAACCAAATAGACAAATCTAATATGGAAAGAAAACTTCTCACCTGACGTTTTACATGCGGGAACTCAGATTGCCTGAAATAACTCAGCCTCTACTCTTACGTCTCACTAACTACTGTTTTTTCTATACTTATTTACTTTCCCCTCTCCCGTATTCTTTCCTCGACTCGGATAAAAACATCATGTCGTATTGGGTAGGATTCTGAAGGCTGTTAGTAGAGCAAGTGGTACGCCACTGACCGTGTTGATAAATGCGGTAGTGGATAGACATCTAAACTCTTGCAAACTACAGGTTGAAAAATTTTACCTGATAACAAGCATTTTCTACATCCACACATCTCTCCGTATCTATCCTTTTGGGAGATAAGAGGTAAATATATTCAACTTTATGCACTCACAACTACATGCAGAAATTCAACCATAGCTTATTTAGCCTGTGTATTATGTGAAGTAATTCATGTTAAACATCGTCGCTTCAATCAACTTTGCAATAGCGAGAAGTTATCATGTCCCTGAAGCCACTAAGCATTTCAACAACTGTTATTTTTTAGTCGGTATTGCTGAACAGCACTGTTAATATATATTTCAACAATGTTGTAGATGGGGTAAACTTGTGAAATTTCACATGCTGAGAATTCTGTACTTTAAACATAATTATGGTTTAGAATAAAGCAAATATATTAATAATAATAATAATACTATCATTATTATTAAAGTATCAGCAACGGAGCGAATTTTATTTAACGTAGATTGTTAGTAACCAGTTCATATTGTTAAGCTTTATACGCTTTGCTTGATAACAGTCGAACATGCTAAACTATAAGTGCTTATTGGGTCAAATTTTATATAGTTATATGGAATCAATAAGAAAACTTGAGTACTGAGTTATGCTTTTTATGGTGACCGGCAAGGCGTATCTTCTAGTGTCAGGTTATCCATAATCCCCTACCGAAAGATATGAACCTGACTGGTTTAGACCTGCAGTCAGATAAGTTGTGCCGAATTAGTCATTGTTTACCAAGTCATGCAAATTTTCCATAAGTAAGTTTTGAGTTACGTAGTTTTGTACTGATATTTAACTTCTTTACTGAGAACCCTCTCCTTGTAGTTAGTGTATGATATTGATTATCGATCAGTGACTTACTTGTAAGTAAATTTCGACGTGAATTTGGTGGGGTTGTGGGGATTTAGAGATATTTCTAGTTGGTATTCATCGTAGACTGACATCGGTTGGAGGAACAAAGGAAAGCTGAGAGTACTGGACAGCTGTCTCATCCTAGTATGGGACTCCTCAGTAGCACGTACCCGCGCCTCCGCCAAGGATCGAACCCACGGCCTTAAGGTTCCATGGCCAGCGCGTTACGATTGAGCCACTGGGTCGGAATCCAGTGGTCCATACTTCCAACTTCTGTCAGTTCACGATATAGCGTGAACTCCATCCAATGTCATTGTTACGTATTTGTCCTCACGGCCACCAGATTTGTCCCACTGGTCACGACTTCTCAATGGGACTTCGGGAATCACCTCTCGAAGCTAGTCACCAATGAGCACTAATGAATTTGGTACTACTCCAAAGACATGTAGATGATACATTTACAGTACTGAAATTGAAACACATCAATAGGTTCTTGGCATATATAAATTCAGTAGTGAATGCGACTCAGTTTACCTGTGACTTAGCAAGTGATGGTGGGCTAAAAATGCAAGATTAAACGAAGACAATACGGAAGTTAAGAGACTAGTGTCTGTAGGAAACCCTCCAATTCGAATCGCTACTTAGACTGAAAATCATCTCACACCGTCTCCGTTAAAGCAGGCTTAGTTAAATGCCTAAGAAATAGGGCGAAAATGCTTACTAGTAGGACAGAAAATCTACAAGAAATTAGGTATATCAAGAATACCCGCCCAAATTTATAATAAATAGAAAGAAAAATATTAGCTGTGATAGCAGTAGTAACAGAAGTTTTATCAATAATGATTCTACTACTAATAGTAATAATGGTGACAGGGTTGAAAGAAAACTCAAATCTTCTACTGTGTTACCATACAAGAAAGGCACCGCAAAAGCACCACGAATTCTCAATAAAGCTACAATTAAAGTGGCATTAAAATCAGCAAACTCACCTAGAAACAAACTTTGTAGGTTAAAAGATTCTACTGATGTAATTAGGCAAAATAATTTGGCTTACCAAATCCCTTGCAATGATTGTAAGGTCAAAGTAGCCAACCAGGGTCAATTAGAACAACATAGCACAAAAACTTAGCTAATTCAAGATTAGTAGATCTTAGTAAGATAAAGAATTTAGAAGAAAGCTCGGCTATAGCTCTGCACGCAATTACACAATAGGGTAGGATAGAGCGACAGTATTAGCAACTAACCTAGTTGGGTGAAAGGAGAGATTGATAAATGTATCGTTGTTTATCGAATCAACACCGTCCATACATGAAATGGAAATGATTCTGCACCTGTCCCGGATATATGGAAAATTTTACTACCCTTGTCACAAAAAAGGGAAAGAAAATTAGGACTATATAAACTCTGTCTCAAAGTAGTGGAGTTACCTGATATGAAAATGGATGATAAATTACGTCCAAAATGTTATCCAGTAAATGATACTGTTTCACTGTGTGACATCTCTAGTAAACAGACTAAAATGAAAGCGTAATATTTTATTTAAAACAATCCAATGTTGTACTGAGTTTTATATTATCAAAGATTGACACTAGACATTTTGGGATGTTGGTATGAAATGAAAATGTTGGGTGATGTTGAAAGTGAAATGAAAACCTGAGTCATACCAAGATTCGAACTAGTGACCTCTGAGTTATAAACCCAGAGTTATATTAACTGAGTTATAGGCAATAGCTGTCAACCAGAGCTTAGATTTACATCAGTAAATATGGTTATGAGTTTCAGAAATTGAAATATGTCATAATATCACAAACTTATTCACAAGTTTCCAAACAACAAGAAATCTGAAAGTATCCTGACCAACAAAATACTAGTTGGTTTAGAAAAACATGGACACTAAGTTAATGTGACTCATCGTAGAAGGTGCATTTTACTTGTATTAACATATCGTGGTATGTTAGAACAAATAATGAAAGAAAACAAAAAAATTTTCTTAGTCCTTCCGATACAAAAGTCAGAATTAAACGGTGAAAAAAACACGATATATAATAAATCTTTATTAAGCTTACACAAATTCACAAATGTTAACTCAGATCTTCAGTCTCACCACTATCTTCTAACTCGAGCAATATTCTGATTTTTTTTCTTCGCAATTAAATCACATCGCTAACTAGATGATGAGTTGGATGAATTTTCAAACATTCAACTGAAAAAGTACCCAGACTACAATCCATGCACACTCGATAGCCATCGTTGTATAAGGATGAACATTGTATTTAGAAGAGCACATATTGATTCATGATGACAGTCACATATGAAGCACAAAAGCATAAGAATACCAGATAGATAACAACAACATAAGACCTGGCAACACTGAGTAGTGGTTCAACTTTTAACACCTCATATCATCATATTAATCGGAAATGCACTATGAGGAAAGATAAAGAAATAAAAAAAGACGATAGTTTAAAGCGGTAGAAAGGTATCAGAAGAGACCGAAGACGAATGAGACAATAAAATCCAATGTGATGATTAAAACAACAAATGAGTCTATTTGTGCCGTATCACCTACAGGTATTCAAACGCCGGCTTCTCTTGTCACACAAACCTAGCCGGAAAGCCTACATTCCCCTACACTGCTCACACCAACAGTCAGAAACTACATGGTCTAATGTCATAGTCCAGTCTGGCTACCTCTAACCTCCATCTAGTCTGAGCCTACTTAGGTAAACGTTGTACAATGGGGCAGATGGTGACTAGGCATGAGCGACACGTCCCGGCCGCTTCAAACAACGAAGGTCCACATACTCACCAGGTGACTTATCTTTTCTTCCCAAAACTCTATGCCTGACTTCTATGCTACTGACAAAAAGGTTTCACAAAAAATGGTCTATGTTACGAAAGTAACGGTAATCAGACACCTAAAGCCTTCTTGTCTTTCATCTTTATTGGCCGTTTCACAGTCGAAGTGACGAACACTACACAACATACACAAATCACTTCATTATACACCAACCACTAGTTTTCGATCACACACCCTTCCATAGGATGGGGTACTTTCCTTCCATACGTTTTTGAGAAAAACACTACCATGCGATCTTCCGATCGACCAGGTTGAACGAAGTCAAAGCCAAAAAGTGTGGCTAATATTG